CATTCAGACCAAAGTCCTGCAGAAAAATTATGATGACATGTTAGGTTCAAGAAGTATTCACATCAACTCTGCCAGAACATTTCTCCAAATCATCCAAGAGTCATTGCTGGAGCTATGCATGACCCATATTGGTCTTTGGAAAGCTCTCTGGCAACTGATCGAAATTATTCCTGTGAAGTCTGAGGTACAATATGGGGCAGGTTCTTGGGATGTAACCCACTGGGGACATCACCGGTTTCAAATCCAAAAATGGGCCTCCACGAAAATCCAAAATTTTCTTCCGAGAACCGGTTGAGAATCCTGGCACAATAGCAAGATCTCAAATGGACAGTTTAAATGAAGGTACCAAAAAAATCATGGAGACAAGGTGGATAAACACCAATGAAGTGAAGAAGAGCCACCCTGTGACTGAATGGCGGAATAGGTTCAGGAACATAAGATACAGGAGCTAAAATAGTTAATTCAGCCTTTTGAGCCACACTGCCATTCAACAAAATCATGGTTGATTTTCACCTTCTTGCACCGTACCTCAATCCTCAATCTCTGTCTTAAGTGAACTCAATAACAGAAAGTCCACAGCTTTTCACAACAGAGAATTCCAAAGATTCACAAAGCCAGGTGAACAAATGTCTCCTAATCTTAGTCCTAAAGCCTCTTATTCTGTGACCCTACGTTCTTCATTCTCCAGCATTAATCCTATAAAGCTCCTTAAACATTTTATATATTTCATTACTTCATCCCTCACTCTGAGGGAAGACGAGTCATACTTTTCCTCAGTGGATGATTCCCTCATCCCAGGAACCAGTTTAGTGAACTTTCATTGTACTCAAAAGTTCACATAACATTTGCCTTCCTAATAGTTTGCTGTACCTCCATGTTAACTTTCTGTGATGCATGCACAGGGGCATTTGAATCCAAACATTTGCATTCTCTACACAGTCAAAAAGTATTCTGCTTTCGCAATCGCCTGCAAGCTGGAGAACTTCACAAAATATAAAAGCAATATACTGTGGATACTGTAAATCTGAAATAAAGCCAGAAAACCTTGGACATGCTCAGCAAGTCAGGCAGCACCTGTGGACAGAGAAACAGATTTAGTGTTTCAGATTGATGATCCTTCAAGAGAACTGGGAAAAGTCAAGCAAGAGAAGGTTGAAAGGGTGACAAAATGTGTAAAAGGAAAAGTCTGAGAGGGGTGGAAGACAGGGGAATGAGAATGATAAAATATTTGGTGCAGCAAGGCCAAAGGGTGTGGAGATGGGAGAAGTGCAAAAAAAAGTCTGTGAGGGCTCTTGTAGTGCTGTAGTATTGTCTCTATCTCTGAGCCAGAGGATCCAGGTTGAAGTCCCACCTCCTCCAGCGATGTGTAATAACATCGGTAAACAGCTTGCTTAGAAAATCTATTAAAAAATCTTGAGGTGGTACTGGTGAAGAGTTGCCATCCAAACTTATTAGTTACATCATGCATTCAAGATAAGAATGAGCATTGTATGACAATCTCATGGCACCTCGTTCACATTTGCTTCAAGTTGAAATACGTCAGACAGCTTGATGCAGTTGTCTCTGTGGACAGTGATTTTTTTTTGTTGAACTATTAGGCGCAAGGAGGATAGGAGGACATTGACAACTTGTAACCAAACAGCAAAAGTGAGGGAAGGGGTGGGTTGAAAAGGTTGGGTCTTTGTGTGAATGGAGGATCCTAGCGAGGACAGAGGGGGTGGTTGAAGCATTCATGGTCTGTCCTGGGGTTATGGAGCTGATGGTGGGAGCAGCTCATTGAGGTAAAATAAATGAAAGGCAGTGTCCGGACTGACCAATATAAATCCACCTCAGGGTTTTGGTCGGAAGAGTCCTTACAGGGTTTTGAGTTCACCGAACTGCTCCTGCCAACACTTCTGTTGGATAATCTCCTTTACGACGCAAAGAAGGCAGGGCAAACTGAGCCTGCATGTTCAGCCATGTCTCATAGTGAGTATAACATTGGGCACTAACATGAACGTTCAATAAAAAACAAAGCAAAAGTGTTGCTTTTTCTCTTACTCCCCGTAACCATCAACATGCCAACCATGAGGTGTGCCAGCATATGTTGCTCTCTCATTAAGCTATTTTCAACAAATAGCGGTGATGCGCATGTGAATAAAGTAAAGCATACAAGATAGGAGCAGGAGGAGGCCATTCAGCCCTTCAAGCCTGCTCCGCCATTCATCACGAGCATGACCGATTGTCCAACTCAGCAGCCTAATCCTGCTTTCTCCCCACCATCGGGAACATCCTCCCTGCATCTGCCCTGTCCTAAGTCTTTTGTGAGATCCCCCCTCATTCATCTGAACTCCAGCAAAACAATCGTAACCTGGTCAATCTCTCCTCTTCCGTCAGATCCACCATCCTCGGAATGAACCTGGTAAACCTTCGGTGTACTCCCTCAAGAGCAAGAGCATCCTTCCTCACAAGAGGAGACCAAAACTGCACATAATATCCCAGGTGTGGTTTCACTAATGGCCTGTACAACTGCAACAACATCCCTGCTCCTATACTTACAACCTCTCGCAATGAAGGCCAACATACCATTTGCCTTCTTTACCGCCTGCTGCACCTGCATGTTTACCTTCAGTGACTGGTGCACAAGGACACCCAGGTCCCGCTACACACTCCCCTCTCCCAATTTACAGCCTTTCAGGTAGTAATCTGCCTTCTTGTTTTTGCTGCCAAAGTGCGTAAGCTCACATTTATCCACATTTGCCGTTGATTTGCCGATGTAATGTGACATACAAGTTAATTTTAAATCTGAATCTAATTTGTGTTGTTCATAATTCTCATACTGAAGGCAGTGGCAATGCAGAGAAACGTGACTGGGATGCCTCCCAGTTTGAGTGGGAATATTCTGAGCTGAGAGCATGTTTCAGCATTGTGTCAAAGTGGAGTACACTTCCTGTTTCACCGCCAGGGAAGGTCATCACTGAGAGAACGCTGTCCGACTGCTCTGATACCCACAAGAGCTGGAATATGCATTCGACCAGATAATTAAATACGTTTTGGCTGGTACAGACACAATGAGCTGAATCGCTGCCTTTCTTCTGAGTTGAAAATATTGGGTTTCAAAGAGATGAGTCACTGTAAGGCGCTCATAATGAATAGTGTAATCCTGCCACACTGGGTTCATGTTTCATGTGTTAGACCGTAAGGCCATAACGTATAGGAGCAGAATTGGGCCATTTGGCCCATTGAGTCTACTCTACCATTTGATCATGGCTGATGTTTTTCTCAACCCCATCATCCTGCCTTCTCCCCATAACCCTTGATCCCCTTTACCAATAAAGAACCTATGTCCATCTTAAATACTCTGAATGACTTGGTCTTCAGAGCCCTTTGTGGCAACGGGTTCCACAAATTCACCACCCTCATCCCAGTTTTAAAGGGTCATCCCTTTACTCTGAGGCTGTGCCCTCGGGTCCTAGTCTTTCCTACTCATGGAAACTTCTCCACGTTCAGTCGACGCAGGCCTCTCAGTATTCTGAGTTTCAGTGAGAAACTCCGCTTATCCTTCTAAACACCACTGAGTACAGATGCAGAGTCCTCAACCGTTCCTCATATGACAAGCCTTTCATTGCTGAAATCATTCTTTTAAACCTCCTCTGGACCCCCTGTAACACCAACACATTCTTCCTTAGATATGGTGCCCAAATCCTAGTTCAGGATTCTAAGTTGCTTTCTGCTTCAGATTTCCAAAACCTTGCCCCATTTATAAAAATAGTCCATGCCTCTATGCTTCCTACGAAAGAGCATAACCTTGCACTTTTGACATTACAGCCCATGTGCCACTTCTTTGCCCACACTTCTCAACACTATCTGTCCCTCCACCCATCTGTGTATCATCAGCAAACTTAGGAACCAAAGACCTTGTTGCTTCAACCAGATCGTTGATATATAACATGAAGAGCTGTAGTTCCAACATAGATCCCTGCGGAACTTCACTCATCACCACTGCCAAGTTGAAAAAGATCTCTTTATCCCCACTCTGCCTTCTGCCAGTCAGTGTTTCTTACATGCGGTTTGTATCCTGTCTTAATTTCTTCCCCACATCCTGAATACTGCAAGGTGGCCTGTAAGTAAGTGGTGGGCAAGTTGTTGGAGGGAATCCTGAAGGACAGGATTTACATATATTTGGAAAGGCAAGGACTGATTAGGGATGGCTTTGTGCGTGGAAAATTGTATCTCAGTAACTTGATTGAATTTTTTGAAGAAGTGACGAAGAGCATTGATGAGACTCGAGCAGTGAGTGAGATCTATATGGACTTCAGTAAAGGCGTTTGACAGGGTTCCTCATGGTAGACTGGTTAGCAATGTTAGATCACATGAAATACAGGGAGAACTCACTATTTGGATACAGAACTGGCTTAAAGGAAGAAGACAGAGTGTGGTGGTGGAGGGTTACTTTTCAGAGTAGAGACCTGTGACCAGCGGTGTGCCACATGGGTCCACTGCTTTTCTTTATTTATATAAATGATTTGGATGCGTTACGGTTAGTAAATGTGCAGATTACACCAAAATTGGAGATGTGGTGAACAGCAAAGGAAGTTACCTCAGAGTACAATGGTGCCTTGATCAGATGCGCCAATGGGCCAAGGAGTGGCCGATAGAGTTTAAATGCAGATAAATGTGAGGTGCTGCAGTTTGGAAAGGCAAATCAGGGCAGAACATCTACACTTGACGGAAAGGTCCTGGGGAAAGTAGCTGAACAAAGAGACCTTTTGAGTGCAGGGAGATAGTTCCTTGAAAGTGGAGTTGCAAGTAGATAGGATAGTGCAGAAGGTGTTTAGTATACTTGCCTTTATTGCTCACATAGGAGTTGTGAGGTCATGTTGCGGTTGTACGGGACATTGGTTCGGCGACTTTTGGAATACTGCATTCAATTCTGGTCTCCCTGGTATAGGAATGATGTTGTGAAACTTGAAAATATTTAGAAAAGATTTACAAGGATGTTGTGAGGGTTGGAGGGTTTCAGCTGTAGGGAGAGGCTGAATAGGCTGGGGCTATTTTCCCTGGAGCAATGGAGGCTGAGGGGTGACCGTATAGAGGTTTATAAAATCCTAAGGGACGTGGATAGAGTGAATAGACAAGGAAGTACAAAACCACGGCATATGTTTAAAGTGAGAGGGGAAAGATTTAAAAGGGACCTGAAGGGGAACTGTTTCCACGCAGAGAGTGGGGTGTTGGTTTTTTTCCAGTCTTTATTCATCAACATGATGAGTGCATCACTGCTAGGCAGCATTTTGTGCCCATCCCTAATTGCCCAGAGGGCAGTTCGGAGTCTACCACATTGCTGTGGGTCTGGAGTCACATGTAAGCCAGACCAGCTAAGGATGGTAGTTTCCTTCCCAAAGGAACTTCAGTGAGCCAAATGGGTTTTTCCAACAATTGACAATGGTCATCATTAGATTCTTTATTCCACAAAGTTTATGAACTCAAACTGCACCATCTGCTGTGGTGGGATTGAAACCTGGGTCGCCAGAACTTTATCTAGGTCTCTGAATTAATAGGCCAGAGATAATACCAGTAGGCCATCGCCTCCCTGTGTACGCAATGAGCTGCCAGAGGAACTGGTGGAGGCGAGTACAACCACATTTTAAAGGCGTCTGGATGGGGTCTATGAATAGGAAGGGTTTAGAGGCCTCTGGGCCAAATCCTGACGAATGGGACTAAATTAATTTAGGATATCTGCAAGTTGAACTGAAGGGTCCATTTCCATGCTGTACAGTTCAATGATTCTATGTCTCTAAATCCTTCTGCTGCATAACAGAAATCAGAGTGCAGAAATCTGTCAGAATTCACAATGATAACAGATGATTCAAAGTTCCAGGCAGCAAGAAAGAGAAAGCCTGGGTAAGGTGCACCTTCCACCTTCCGTCAGATGGAGAAAACATAGGAATCAAATTACATTTCAGATGAACCACTGAAGCAATTCTAACATTCAGTTAAAGAAAACGAGGGTTTATTGCTGTAGTGAGAAGAACCAATAAAAAAGCCAATAACCTTCAGCGCAGTTCAATACTTACCCTCCTGTTAGTGAACAAAGTGTAACATTCTTTTACAAAAATGGTTTTAATGAGGTCAAGATCCAAGATGGAGAGAATGGGCAACCGTCCATCGTAAATCCTGAAGGGAAAAAGGTGGAACTGTTAAAAAGTGAAAGTGGGCTTCAGGTAAATTTTGGGGTCTGACTGGGAGACTTGGCTGACTTACTGCAGTGACTTCAGGTGCTTTGGACAGCCAGGTCTCTGTTGCTATAAACTTAACACAGACGTATGAACACTTCTTCACCACCACCCAACTCACTCAAAACCAGGTCAGAGAGAAAGCCCAGGCCCAATATTTACTATGAGCAGGAGCTGGGCACAGAAAACTCAGATACACAGGTTTCACGGACACCGTGCAGAGTGTTATGCAATTCTGTCATCAGTTCTCCCCGCTGAAAGGGAGCCTGTTTGAGAAGCTGCCTAATTGTCAGGTTGGTAAGTGCTCCAGCACAAACCTGCAGTAGACATCAGGGATGGGGAATTTGAGGTAGCATCGGCAGGGGTGGTTTGAGAAGAGGTGGGGTCAATAGGACATGGCCAGGAGACCACTGTAACAGTTCAGGTCCAAGAAATCCTGCCAAAAATGGACATAAATAAAAGCATGTAGAATCAATCCTTAAAACCTTTCACCTTGTGACTCATCACCACCCTGCGAGTGAAACTAGTCACCACCATTACCCACCCTTCATCCTGAAGCACATCCTCGTCTAAAGGCAAATGAGAATTTTATAAGTTCTCAGCATATCAAAGGTCACCTCTGAAATCAATGAACTTTGAGAGGCTATTGGGACGTTTCCCAGACTCTTGCCAGTTTTCAATAAATGGAATTTCTGCCATAGACAAGGACATTCCCCCAGAAAAATTGCTCCCTTGCTACAGAGAGTAGACACAATTCAGCCCAACGCATTCCCAGAATTCCCGGCAACAGTGAAAATGGGTCAATTCCCAGATCGAATCTTCACCCCATCATTCCAGTGACTTGGAGGGAAAAGTGTATGACCAGATGGAATGTCAGGCTTAATGTGAAGGCACCACTGGAGACATTTTTCAGAATGAACAAAAGGACACAAAAGTTGAACATCCCTCCCCAAGAACTTCAAAACATCCTTTTGCATGTAAAGTGAAAGTATCTTGCCAACAGTGTGCCAATTTTTTGAAGTGTAATGATTGATTCAATGTCAAGACTGGAATGATCTTTAAACGAGGTTGACCACCCACACTTAGGCGGCACTGTGTGACTGGTGTAATATGGATTACTGAAGAAGATAAAAATCCAAAACTTCACTTATCTCACTGGTTGATTAAATGCACTTACCCCCATATCTTTCCATATTTCTTGTAGCATTCTGTGTCAAATCCAAACATTCCCTGGCCAGGAAGAAAACAAAAATATTTGCATCACAAAGCACAAAGAGGGTGGAAGGATCATTACATGTATGGGTGCATGTGTTTGTGTCATTGTGTGGTGGGTGAGTTCTAAAGGCTGGTGCGAGGTGACAGGAGGTAAGGCATAAAATTGGGGGCAATGCCAAGAGCACCGTTCTGCCTGAACTCCAGAGAAACATAATCCTGCCAATGTCCTATGTTGGGAGATCTGACACATGTTCTAGTCAAAAGAATCTTCGGGAACCACCACCAAATGCACCTTTGTAATTCTGTTCCATTTTGGCATTTTGCAACTATACATTAATGTGACCTCAACAGAATCAATCTCAGCAGACAGTTTGAAATCGCTTCCAAAGATGAAGATTGGCCATTTCTGGCCGTTGTTGTATTCAGGGAATTTATGCTTCGCACAAGACTCCATCTATCCCATCAGGGCCCCTTTCCAATTCCTTTATCCATTGTGTGTTCCTCCAGCTTCCCCTTAACTGCATCTCAAAATCCCACCCTCCCACTACTATCTGGTCCAACCTCCTCTTTTCACTCCCTCAGAAAGCATGTCCATGACCACAGTGTAAGTACTTCAGAACTTTGCTCATCCAGACTGAGAATGAGAGAAGGACATGGAGCTATAGCAGCCTGATCCCATCAACTGTTTGAGGCGATCGGATGAAGACAACTTCTAGTGAACAGTCTGTTGACAGGTTCACTCAAGACCCCATCTTCCTTTTCAGGTGCATGTAAAGGAAGATCCCACAGCACAATTTCTAAAATGAACAGCAAGTACTGCTTGCAATATTTGTCCCTCAACCTCTATCAAGTCAGATAATCAGGTCTTTATTGTTGCTGATTTCTTTCTCGCCTAATGCAAATGAAGCTGAAAGCAGGCACTGAGGTTCAGCATGGAACCTTAATGGAGGCTTCCTCTGTCCTGTTGTAATAACCACCTCCTCCCACCCAGACTGGAGGCCTGCGACCACCGGTGTTCCACCGGGATTGGTACTGGGTCCACTTTTGTTTCTCATTTTTAACTGATTGCGGCTAGCTCACTAAATAGAGTATAAAGACAGTCAGCCAGCACCAGCCGTGCTCCTTCTATATTCGTCCTTTATCCTTAAGTGTGTGTGAGACAGCTCAGTCAGCACTCAGTTAAAGGAAGGATAACAGGCAGAGTTCAAAGTGGAGAGATAGAAGGAACTCCAGATGCTGGAGAATCTGAGATAACAAGGTGTAGAGCTGGATGAACACAGCAG